ACAGGTTCTTATACGGTAGTGGTGCTATATAGCACCTTAACCACTCCAAAGAACCGCTGAAGAACCTTTTTTTTTAGAGTGTAGGACTTTGCTGAGGAACCCTTATGCTCAGAAACGGCCCTGGTTACAATATAAACACATGGAGTTATTTATATCTCATCTACAATAATGTACAGTATTTGAAAAATAATGTGTTTTTTGAACATTAAAGCATGTCAACATATTCTGTTACACCACATACACAAAATAATGATCTTTAAAATAGCATCATATGACCCCTTTAAAGTATGCGAGACATACATTTAAATAGTATTTATTTACGGAGGTATATTATGTCACTTCTCTAGTAAGTTTCGTCTGTGTGTGAAGACAGTAGCACAAATCCGTGAATGAATGTTTCGAAGTGAAATAAACTTTAATGGAATAAAGTTGAATGGAATTTAATTGAATTAAAGTTGAATAAACTTAAACTTTACTGTTCAGTGCACTGATGTCAGACTCATTTTGGATAATAAAGTTTATTTTAAATTGTTAAATGCCCTGCCTCCATTACGTATCTCGGTCACGCCATTATAAGTGTTTGATCACCACATTTGGGTGATCATTGCAAAAAATGTGTTTATGTATATATATTCTGTTTATTTTTATTATATATATATATATATATATATAGTACCAGTCAAATGTTTGGACACACGAATGGGAAAGTGTCCAAACTTTTGACTGGTACTGTACTATAATATACACAAAGAATATCAGCCGATATATCGATATCCTTTTTTTACTCCCTAATATCGGTATCGGGCCCAAAAAACCCATATCGGTCGGGCTCTACTAGACACTGCTTTTCTGCACTTTTACTTCGCACGTCTCTATCGTTTTCAATCTCGATTATGCTGCCACAACTGGAGCCTGCTCTTTTAGCAGGTGTTCCGTCAACGCAGAGATGAGGACTGTTTGAAAGTCTTTTTTCCCACTAAAACTAAAGCGTGTCATCTCAGTTTATTACATCAACATAACAAAAGATGTGATCGCAAAACAAGCAGGAAAAAAGGCATTACATGCTAATTTTTAAGTTATATACATGTAAATTTATATAGTCGCCAGTGGCCATCTCAGCAAAAATATCACTCGCAAATTTTTTATTTACATTTTTTTGGTCGCAAATCCGACAGTTTTAGTCGCAGTCTGGAGCCCTGCACTGACACTGCAAATACGCAAATAAGGACTTTAACCTGGGGTTTAGGAATGTGCAGTGTGAAACAGCAGCTTATGATTGATTACCCAGTATTAACTTTTAGCGTAAAGTATAAGCAGTGTGAAACGTGAAGCAAGATGACCCAGGATTCCGTTTACCCGGGGTTTAGAATGACCCAGGGTTAACGATTTCAAGTGTGAAAAGCCCTTCTGAAAACAGGCAGTCATAATGAAACATTTCTTTACATTTAGGGAATGCACATCAGGAATGCAACATATCTCTGGATTACAAAAAAGGGGGGAAAAAAGTATTTTACTTTTTTCTGAAAACAGATAAACCTAATGAAACTTTTTTTTTTTTACCATGCACACACAAGGTTTCTCTGGTTTACAAAATTATAGCACCTCCAAGAAAATATATATATATTTAGTACTACACACAATTTAACTGGGGGAAAATTTTAATTAATTAACAAACATGTCTAATAAATAAATAAAAAAATGTCCATGCATTGGATTTTTTTACTTTTTCTGTAATAATCTGTAACAATTCTTTTTCTGAAAACAGCATAACCCTAATGATTTTTTCAGCTCTATGCACAAGAAATAATGCAGTAAACGTTTACAAATTTAGAAAGCTCTGTTGTTTCTTTCTTTTTAATTTTCTCTGAAAACCCTAAACCCTTCTTTCATTATGCTAACGAAATGCGAACAAGCAAGAATATTCCTCTGCTTTACAAAAATATAGAAAGCTCCAAGAAATGACTGTCCACATTAAACACACGTGCTTTCTGTAATAACATCACCCTAAAGAAAAATGTCTTTGTTTTCTCTATTTAAACACTTCTTGCACACCTGAATAGTTGCAGGCAGGTGCGCTTGATACAGGAAATAATGCTAAAGAAAAAAAAAATCCTGCATTCTGCTGTAGCCAGCAAGAAATCCAATATTTACTGAGGTAGCAAAATTTCAGTCATGAAAGCTTTGTCAAGAATAAAAAAAAAGTCCATTCACTTGATTTGCATTTACAAAATGTAAACAGACAGGAACACAGCATTTATCTGTTTTATGGAAATATATATGGAAATATATGGAATTGGAAAATATATGGAAATATAGGAAGCATGTAAAAACATCAAAGACCATTTCTTTCTCAATACACTAAACTAACGCAAAAAAAAAAAAATGCAAAAGAGCAGAAATACAAACATTTCAGTCATGAGACCTTTGTCAGGAATTTAAAAAAAAAAAATCATGCACTTGATGTGCATTTACAAAATGTTAGCAGGAAGGAACGCAACATTTCTGTTTCATGGAAATATATGGAATTGGAAAGTTTAGGGAAATATAGAAACGCTTCTTTTCTCAGGACACTGAATTTATGCAAACAAAATGCAAAAAAGGAAGAATACAACATTTCTTTAGTGTATGAAAACAGAGAAAACATCATAACAGAAAATATTGCTTTATACACACGTTTGCCATGAGAACGCTACAACCCCAAGTAAACGTTTCTTATTCTCTAGCTTACAAAAATAAAGAAAGCTTGTAGAAACATAGTTAGCTTACTTCAGTAATACATAAACTTGCTTCCTCTGAAAACAGCAAAACCCTAATGAAACCATTCTCATAGTTTTTTCAATCTCAGTCATTTTCTGTGACTGCTATACATCAGTATTCTTTTCACACTTGCGTAGCCATTCTTGGGTTTGTCTCAATAACATTATTGAGCCCACAATACTGCTGTGGCGCGAACGTACAAAGAAACGGAGGTGAATGAAAAACGCATGCACACGTTCAATATGGACACCTGGCCATGTGACAGGAAGAGCCTTGAAAACGTTCAGAAAAATGAGCTCCTAACAGGACGAGCGGTTGACAACGCTGGTTTCTTGCTGAACGCGTGTACGTGCGTGTGTGCACTTGAAACAGCAATGTCATTCTCCTCTGTCCCTCTTTGCAGTCTGGAAGGTTGGGAGTTGCCCTCCAAACCCTCGCAAATAGTCACCATTATCACTTCAAGCTCATTTTTCTCCTTCAAAAGGAGAGATGCATTATTTGCGATACTTTTGCGATTGCCTCTCTCAAACTGTCTCCTCCTGCTGCAAGTGAGTGAACCAGCGAGTTAAAAATAGCTCTCTCTCTTTTTCTCCGCTCTACGTTTACATAAGCGTGCAGTGGGGAGGCCACTTCCGGTCTAAACGGCTCAGGCCAGTGTCTGTTCCACAACAACCACCAGTGACTGTGGGAGAGGACAGGACACACACACACACACACACACAAAATGCAGGAAACCTTTCAATGTATACCCAACATTCATACCTCCATGTCTTCTGAAAACGTCTATCTGTCTAGCACTCATCTGTCTCTCTTTCTGCACTCATCGCATTTCTATTTCCCTCCCTCTGAAGTGCATAAATCAGTCCGATACATGCAACGTGCTACGAAAGTCACACAAACAAGTCAAGCGAGTCGAGTGCAACCGATCTGACCAACAAGTACAAGAATATTCCAAAGCTTTAAATGTTCAAATACTAATAATTTTGCACAATTAAAACACAATTCAAACCCAGCATTTAAAAGAAACCAAATACTCACTACTGTGCACAGTCGATCAGTTGATATTCATTGGATCTTTCGAAGCAAGCTCTCACCCCTTCATCCTGCCACAGGGTCTTTGTGTGTTCATAAAATTCCTGTTGGGAAGACAAGTGGAAGAGAGGAAAAACCCATAAACTAGCTGTCAGAATCCAGGCAAATCTTTTACACCTCGGTAGTTTGGGTGCATATCATTTTTTAAACCGGTTTGTGAGTTTTGCACACACTCTTTAATGCATGCTAACCTGTATTAAAAAACCAAACATACACACTATACACTGACTAAAATGAAAAAAGTTAAAAAGCATAATAGGACCCCTTTAAAGTTGATCAGCAATTACAAGCAAAAACAACATCAAGCTAAAAAATAAAATAAAATGTACTAATATAAAAATATGAAGTAATATACATATTTTAAACTAAATTACAGAATGTGAAATGTAAAGCTGAAGCTGCTGTAAAATAATGATTGGTAGTTAAGGAATGTTCACTGTATAGAACGTTTACCAGATGCGTCAGTGAAATAAACAACATAAGTGCGGCACGTTAGACAATAGTTTTCAGTGGATAAACACGGTTTGAAACTATAAAAACAATTCACATTTTTTTTCTACAACATGCTTAAGGTAGGGCTGGGCAATATAAAGAATATTTAAGAGTTTTCAATTAAGCAATGTATGAACAATATGTATTTAAAAAGTATGAGAACATTAAGACATACATTGTAACAGTGCTTCAAATTTAAACTTTAGTAGCGAAAAACAGCAGTAGAGTGGGTCATTTAAATTCACTTCTGTGAATCAGTTTAAATCATGTTTCGAAAGATTGATTTGATTAAAAAAAAGCTTCTAATTGAACTAACTGTTTCCATCATTTAAAGTTGATCATGGGAGTCTTCATTTGGTATTTAATATGACAGTAAAATATATATATGTAGGTTTAAACTAGAGCCCGACCGATATATCGTTTTGCCGATATTATCGGCCGATATTAGCCTGTCGCCGATATATCGGTATCGGCGAATATGCCGCCGATATGAAATTTGTTTTTTGCAGAACATAATTCCTGTTGGGAAGACAAGTGGAAGAGAGGAAAAACCCATAAACTAGCTGTCAGAATCCAGGCAAATCTTTTACACCTCGGTAGTTTGGGTGCATATCATTTTTTAAACCGGTTTGTGAGTTTTGCACACACTCTTTAATGCATGCTAACCTGTATTAAAAAAAAAACACCACTGATTGGTCCATTACAGATTCTGGACAACCAATCGGGAATTTGATTCGAGATTTCTGCATGCAACGATCCCATATTCTGGTTTAAATTCAGATTCAATAACATGAATTGATTCCTTAATGGTTCTATTAACACATTTTAGTAATTCTGTCTAGTGTCTAGTGTCAATTTTCAGATTTCAACAGAACAGTAATGATCAAGAATAAATTGTATCGAATTACTGGGGACAAAAAAAAGTAGGATAGTTTTTCAAATGAGCAATGTCATATGACTCGTGTCTGCGAATACATCACAAGAAGGTGTTTACAACTAAAAAATTATCGTTTTCAAACCCAAAGGAGGAATCCTGTGTCTGACTTAGGATTTCATCAACTCTTGATGAACCATAGAGGCCACGAGGGAACAAACATAAAGTTGAATCAACTGTGCAAAAAAAGATATAAAGCCAAATTAAATGATAATTTACAAGCTGTAGAGGACAACGTGGTGGTAGATATTAACATTATACACATCAACTCAGCTCTTTTGCTGTCTCCTTTCTGATTACATAAACACCAAACAACGTACGCAGTTCATGTATAACAAAAGCCACATATGGAGTTCAAGACAGAACTAAACGATTCTGACCGCCCACTGCAATCCAGATGTGGTGGTGAAGCATGAATGAGCGTTTGAAATTAAAAACTTCCAATCTGATCCAATACAACATGAAGCGGGACACACCTTGCAAAGCTGTTTATATGTGGTGGCATGAACCTGAACAGCAAACGGGTCGGTGCACACCGCACGGGACAAAGGAGGACCGGCCCGTGGTCCCGACAGGGAACAGGGCTTTGTCTCACTTGATCTTTGTTGATGTGCTTAGAAATGGTAGCGTTCACTTTGGCACAGCTCCTTTAAAAAGGAGTGCCACTACGCTTTTAAATGTGTAGGACAAGAGCCACACACTTGAGAATCCCGCCACCCACCAGCTCTCACTGCTCTTACCGTAAATATTTTTTTTGTGGGTATCTGAATTTTTGTAACAGTTATATTATAATATATAAGACACTGTCTTGCATATACTATTATGCAAGCAAAAATTTCATTGTTAAAAATAAATTCATTCTTTACGCAAAACATTACCTGGTTTACAACAAATATTAAAATTAGGCCTTAATTATATTTTAAAACATTTTATACAAAACATTGATACTTTAAAGGGGTCCTATTATGCTCTTTTACAAAGTCTTGATTTTGTTTTGGGGGTGTACTAGAACCTGCTCTCATGCTTGGTGGTTCAAAAAACGCATTATTTTTCACATAATTTACATTATTAAAATACCTTTCTCCCCAGCCTGCCATAAACGGCTCGATTAGTTACCGTACACGTTACATTCAAAGGGCATTAAAGTGTGCGAGACGGGAATTTATATTTAGGGATGCACCGAATGTTCGGCAACCGAACCCAATAAGCGAAAAGACCGAATGAATAGTACCGAACAATGATATGACGCGATCAAATAGCAACCAGCGTAGAGTGAGAGCGTGCACTCTTTATAATGCAGCACACACGTCAGCAGTGTGGAAGCATTTAAACTGTCGGAGAAAGACGCAAAAATCATCACAAGCACCGACAGCGAGCGACTGTTTAGGACTGCATCGCATGTCTCTGATGAGAAGAGGAAGGGGTGATTGTTGCTGGTTACAGTATGATGATTGAAATCGCGAAATGGCCTTAAAGGGGTCATATGATGCAATTTCATTTTTTCCTTTCTCTTTGGCGTGTTACAATACCTTTCTCCCCAGCCTGCCATAAACGGCTCGATTAGTTCCGGCTTTGATTAAGGCCCGCCTTCCGAAAAACAAAATGTGTTGTGATTGGTTAGCTGTCCCAGTGCGTTGTGATTGGCGAAAACAGCGTTTCAGGCGGTCGCACACCAGACGAGAAGCGCAGCGTCACGTCATGCCACATCTTTAAAATTCAAATACTTTATTTTCTATGAGTGTAGGCATGAGTGTAGGCGCCCAGCTAAGTTGTGTTATACTTGTAAGAATTGTTCTAGACGTGCCGAAAATTTGACGCTACAGCACAGCAGCTCTTCTTCTTCGTTTTCTCTGATGCACTAACTCTGCAGCAGCACTTCTTCTTCATCCTCTCGTCTGATGCACTCACTCAACCAAGCGTTCGCCCCTCCCCACTCCCCAACCATTCGAATCTCCGTAGGCGGGAATTATTTTATAGTTTTATATTTCATATTTATTACATAAATAATATTGAGATGTATGATGACACGGTAAAAAAAGAAATGTTTTGCTACTTTGCCCAGTCCTGGTGTACACCATTTCAGGTGAAAGTAAAGGTTAAAACATTTTTAATGTGTGTGTGTGTGTTTTTTTTTTAATTCATCGTCTACATCTGTCTTTCTCTCCATTTTAAAATTACCGTATTGACCCGAATATAAGACGATGTTTTTTTCTTGGAAATACATCTGAAAAAAACGCGGTCGTCTTATATTCAGGGTCTAGACTTTGACATGTCAATAATACACCCACAACAATAGGTGGCGCCAAATACGCATAAAACGAGTGTGCCATGAAATACGTAATGTAATGCGTGTTGTAAAGATCGCGAGTAAAATCAAAAGAAAAAGAAAACCTTACAGCTGCATGAGTCGTGACTGTCACGTTAGCCTGATGGGACCAAACTCCCTTTGTGATTTTAAAACGTAAGACAGTACCCCAAATTTGAAGTCTACAGTAAGATTTAACTTCTACTGTTAATAAGATTTTGGTAGGATACTATTAGATGGATAGCCTAAATGTCCTAATTCAGATGGGCTACCTGTTTTCGGTCCAATACGGTATGTTAATATGCTTCGCCAGTTTCCTCCTAGCTCGATAGCTTCACAGCTACAAGTTTTTTTTTTTTTTTTTTATGGAAATATTACAACTCAGCCATGTAACAGTGCTGAAATAGCTGTCGTCCATAAACTTCAATGGGTCTTTATATCCTAAAGTGGCATGGCTGAGTTATAAATGTCAATAATTGCTTTTGCTTTTTATTTTTGTCTCTCGCTTGTAACACAATCAACTAGTCAGACTGGTTCCCAGCGGGCCCTGGGGCCACCGAGGAAGAGAGAGCGAGAGAGAGAGGGTGGGGCAGTATCTTCTTTGTAGTAATGCTAAAACTATTACCACTTCCTGCACTCGATACTGAAGTTTAACCATTAACAATCAACCCCGAATCACGCAGCTCTCCTGGCAATCCTGTAGCTTACAGAAAAACCAGCTTCCTGCGTAACAGTCATTGTACGTCTATCCAGTTTTTAAGGTGTCAAAAATTCCAACTCATTGTATTTGTAATCTAATAATTCTAGTAATGTTTACAATATGATGCAGGTAACTATTTAAAACAATGTCTAAACCAACTGGTGAGCTGTTTGTGTTCTCTATTTTTAAGTCCATAGGGCCACCAAGTTTGAATCATTTGTAATTAAATCTTAAGCAGGCCCATTGGCGCAGGTCAGGGCGGCTCTCCACTCCCCTTTCCCTAGACACAGTGCACCTGTCTAGGTGATGAGGGAGCAGAGAGGTCCTGTGTGACAAGGTGTGTGGCTCAGGTGAGGCCCTCTTAAGGGAGAGTTTAGAGGTTATCACAAGTAATCAGTCGTAATGAACGCCACACCATTATACCTGAGAGTCACACGTTCACACACCCACATTTCCCTCAGGTGAGGCGCTTTTTCAATTCACCTGTGTTGTCCCTAAGCAAAGAATAGCTGCTAATTATAATTGCACAAAGCACACAAGGCCCTACGACTGAGGAGAACCATCAAAACACGCACGGGCCCAACACAAACATCCACAACACAGTGCGAAAACTAGATGCCCTAACGCTTATTTTTTTTTTAGATGTACATACTACGCTCACACACTTCATCGCCATTTTTACCTTTATACTTCATCGGTCTTTATTAAAATGTCAAATTTTTCTTAACTAAATACGTCTTGTGCATGTCCAGCTAAAAAAGGCGGAACGTAATAATGAGATTGTACACAGACTCTCATGGAAACAGAAACGGGGGTGATGGGGAGACAGAATAACTTTCTACTCACCGATGTGAATTCAAAGTCCTTCTGATTGGCTAAATTGAGGATGTAATCAATTCGAAACTTATTTGCGGGACAGGCTAACCGGACTGGAGGTACCAACACGGACATTGCCGTCACTACAGTCTGTAGAGGTAAAAAGACAATCAGAGTTTCAGTGCGTTCACATTTTTACATGTTTGATTACTGCTTCAACTCAACTCAAGAAGCTTCAACACTTACCTCTATAGCTTCTTTTATATTATTCTTGATGTCTTGAATTTTCTGTTTTTTCTCTCTGTAAAACAATAACGCTTGGCTACTTCAGATCGCTTCATTTTCAGGCAACATTAATGAAATAATTGTAATGTTGTAAATAGTATGAATTAAACAACTTACTGCTACTTAGGGGTGACAGTAAACCAAAATTTGATATCACAATGTGAAGTGATTTATAGTATGTGATTTATAGCATGGTAATGCATTACAACAACAACAATTATTTTTGCTAGAAATTCAACAAAAAGGTTTTATGTTATTTTACATGGTTATCTATAATAATGAAATAACTGTGTTTTGAAGTTCGTGTTTGCATAATCCTGAGGTGAATACAAATGAAAAGTGTATCATCGCAATTAATTACTTGGTCTATTTTCTTTGTCTCATATTACATAAGACTGGAGTTAGAAACAAAAGACTTGTAAATTATATTATAAAACTGACAGTTCAATCTCTGAATTCTGATCAAATGAGCTGCATTTGCTTCAAATTGTTGTAAAATAGCCAAAATACAAACAGGTGACCATACATAAACTGAATACTATATAAGATGCTTAAATTAGATAAAGTAGTCCTGCCCACTGTGCAAATATATTATCTACCTCAGCATTAATGTCTAACATTACGCAGCACATACCACCAGGCCCTAGCATTACTAATTCCTTTTTTCTTAACTTTTCCTGCTAATCATCAAATTAGAACTTGTTTTCCAGATGCTGCAATCACAATCTTTCTATTGACTAATTCATGCAACAATTATCTGCCTTCGTCTTATTTTAGCATTAAAATTTTAACCGATGTCGAAGTCCTGATGGTCCGTATTTCTGTAACCTCTGTAGTATTTCTGGACACCCTAACTACACTGATCGAGGACTAGATTATAGTATTGTAAATTATAGCAACTTAATCACAAAACTGGTTTCAGACCAGCTGCGAAGCATTTCATGATGGTAAATAGTGGTTAAACGGATCGTAGTTGATCCGTGATCCGTACGGACCAAGCCCCACGGTTCGGCACGCATGTGATCCGCAGATTAATTGTTAAATAAAATTTAACCATAATAGATAACATAATAGAGTATAAGTTTATCATTTGTTCGTATTTACACAAGCAAGCGAATTTTAAACAATTCCAGAGAGAAAAGGCGAAAGGGAACTCGATTAGATACTCGCGCGCTGTTCTGTTCTCTACGCACACACGCGTTTCAGACGGCGCGCAAACACCGAAATGAATCCTCTTCGGAATCCTCTGAACAGACACATACACATAAAATTATGACAAAATACCCATCTCGACAATCATTCAGGTAAACGCAGTCAGTTATGTCTCAAGTGAATGAAAACAGCTGAGAAAGAAATCGGATGTGATGCGTATCATATCGGATCCGTGCATCAGGTCTTAAAGGGACAGCGGCTTATAAATACTGCTGCTGTCATTAACCAAACAACAAAACAGCGGTGATAAAAATCTATATTTAATTTATACAGTGAACACTATGTAGTGTTATTTTCCATAATTATTACATTTCTGTATTTGAATACTACCATTCTTATTTAATTTGTAACATATTCTGTTGTATTTATCAGTGCTTGTAATTTGTGTATTTGTTCTTATTTTTACTGGCTGTCCTCTTGTCTCTTTAATCATGTTTAAACTTTCTTAGTTAATCTAGTAGTATTTACTGTGGTATCAAAGTAGTACTTCGCTTTAAGTAATAAATGGAAAACGAGTTAAATTGAAATATTTTTCTTTTCTTGCTGATCCGAAAAATGATCTGATCCGCGGGTCAAAAACCGTAATGTGAACCGAACCGTGAGATTTGTGATCCGTTGAACCACTAATGGTAAATACTGCTTATTGAAATACTGCTTACTGAATAAACTTATTGGAAGTCAGCTTTTTATTATAATGGGACTTTCAGTGTGCAATATCATGCTACATTAATAAAAAGTCCTGTCACAATACAAAATAAAGCACTGCATTTTACTCACAATAAATACATATACACTAACGATATAAATATAATACTCTGAAATGTCCCACTACGTCAAGAGGACAACACAATGACATAAAGCTCGCCTTTACCGCAATGACTTGGATATCAACATCCTCCCAAACCCAACTTTCACTGAAAAACATTATAGCAAAACGATGTTGCCAACAAAATGTCATGATGAATGAAAACAGGGTTTGTTTATACTCTATATCATACTTGACTGTAGGCTATATAGAATAAAAATCTAGTTTGCGTTTGACTTACAAAAAGTACAGAGATGTGAAAGCCATACTTACTCAGCATTGAAGCCATTGACATGTAATATGCGCATCTGTTTGACTATGGTGCTTTTCCCCGATTCTCCAGCCCCTGAGAGACAAGCACAAGATAGAAATAAATCACAAGAGATGTGGGAGGAGGAGGGAGGTCAGATATCACCTGATTCAAGGGGAATAATTAATTTAATTCCACAGTAGCATTTCTTTTTAATGGTAAACGAAACATGTGCCTCTATCAGAAATTTCATGCTAAAAATCTAAAGCTAAAAAGAACTGTGTATGATTATTATATTGTCATTGCAAACGTGCAACAGCTGCAAAAAAGTCATAATGTCACCAACACATAGAATGTGTTATATGGAATAGCATAATTTCGTCCTTTACTACACAAATAAATTGTTGCCAATTTAAGATTTTCAAAATTATGAATACTCAACAGTTGCTTCCATATTCCGTACCTCACGTCATTTCATTAAGATTCTGATATTTCATTAAACTATGAACAATATCACTCCAATATCGACAATCAATCCTCTTGTAAGTAAACCTCAACTAAAAAGGAACTGGTTAGCTAAGCTATGCATCAAATCAAATAGTGAAATGCAAAACAAAACGTTAAGGAGCTATCCAGAAACACCATCTAACGTCTCTAAGAGCCAGTTGTCAAACATTGACAAAGCTGAATGATTCTACAATTTCTGGTCTACAGTGCATATTTGTCTGAGTTTCCAAATGCTAAATATGAGAAGAGAGTTAACTTATCCCCTGCAGATGTTAAGCACAAACTACAGAAGCACCAAAACACCTCAGATTTAGGCTCTCAGTTCAGATGCATGATGGGAACCTCTTTATCACAACACATATTCTGTTACCAGGCTCCAATTGTGTCAAATAGGCCTGTTTGCATACAGGATTTCCACTTTTATGCTCCAATTACACTGGTACACATCCCTAAATCATATATCATTACGACACTCTTAAATCATGGGTATCTAGAAATATCCCTTAAACACCAGACAGACATTATGATTTAAGAGTGCGTCGCCATGTTGAATACATGGGATTTTGATTTAGAAAAGGGTACTTTTAGGCCGTGTGTATTTCTGAACAAATAGGCTGTTAGAGAACTGAGTTTTATCAGAATTAGTCCAGTCTCTTGAACTGAGACTAAATCAAATCAAACAGAGTTTAAAATGACTTCATGTTGTGCTACGCAAGATCCATGAAACTGAAAAGTTTGCAGATTTGATCAGGTTTAAGGTAGTAGATTTTTTTTTTTTTAAATGGCCAATAACACCAATGCCGATATCTAGAGAGCAGGGTGACTGACATAATGCTGATATAGACATACTACAGTTTCATGAAAGCAAATAAGACGTACACAAAATTGCTGAATTTAAATAAATCTTATTCACTCAAATCACACAAAAAAAAACACGTACGAAGAAAAACAGAAAATGCCCATCATTCATTGACTATCGGTAGATTTGGAACTGACAATAAGCAAAATTACCTTTTCTGTTAATCGACTTAGCTAATACATCAGCCTATTGCTAATCTAAACTATGAATATTAACTGATCTAATCAGTTTCTGTTTCAAATGTAATGCGCAAAAATATGTATGTGTCATGTGTATGCCCAGAATGCTAAACCATAAAAATAGTACTATGCAAACAACGCTTATGAGGTCTTGAATACATACATTTAAAAAGAACGAAAACTAAACCAAAAATGATGCACTAATCTAATCTCCCAAACAACTTAGTTCAGAAATGTTTACTTAAAACAGTTATTTTATTTCCATTTATATGTACGGTAATAAGCACATGCTCATTTAGCAGGATGCAGAAACCACCCTAAACTCATGAGCTCCATCCTAAAGAAACACGTAATGTGTTTAAGGGTCAGCACATGCAGGTGTAAGTGTATGCTTATGAGTGTAGGATCTCCAGGAGACAGTCGTGAATGAATTATAAAATCATGGGAGTCCAAATATTTACATAATGCAAAACCTATTCACCATAAATCAGAAGGGAATGAATGGAGTGATTGAGCGGTGTTAGATGAAGCATCACAGGCCTCCACAAGCTAAGCCCTAAGGTGTCCACTACTACTGCACAGGCATCCCAATCGAGACGCGTGTACCTACATCATGTACTGGGACAAATTAATCAAATTCACACAAAACGCTACGTGTGACAGGCCCCGATGAGGTCACGGCGGCAGGCGTCCAGCAGGAGAGTATTTGCAGCAGTGACAGAACCTCAGCTTTCAGACCAACCTACCTAACAGTAGTAGTCGATGAGTTGCTCTGTAGATCTGTTTGTCTTTCTGGAGCTGTTTCTCTATCTTTTTGTTAGCTTCTCGCTGGGCCTTCTCCTCATTTCTCTGGTCCTCAGTCTTACTGTTGCCCAAACAACCCATTTTCCCAAAAACCCAAGAAAAGTTTCGGGGTGGGGTAATTTGGAGGTGTATCTACCGTATGAATAAATGATCCAAATTACTTGATTGGCCTCCGATCAGAACACTTTGATGGAAAACCGGGACATTTATACTACTATGCACATAACTTCCCCGGATTTAGCTGATAAGGGCAGGGGAGCACGGGGAAATATGAAAGCTATGAGTGACTAGTATTGGCGAGAATAGGTGGTGGTGGTGAAAACACTAGGCCTGCCGAGTCCCGTCGAGCACTTGCTGCTATAAAATAGGAGATTTCGGTGTATGGATGTGCATCCAGCGAAGCCTTCGACGTTACATTAATGATTTCGGCTTTCCCACGACGGCGATTTAGCAAATTTCCCGTCGCGAATCCATGGTCGGTTTCCCGAAATAATGACCGACTCTTGTTAAAATCATGAATAGCTCCACAAAACGCGATTCTTTTCGGTATCTTGCTGTCGAATCCGTTGGCCGATGCAACGACACGGGCAGAACGAGACAGAAAGGGTGGCTACAGATTAAAAAAATAAATATTTCCACCAAAATGACGGCATGTGGATCATTCCGCCCTGCGCCGTGGCCGACATGAACCTTTTAACTCCGTCACGAAACTACGTTGTCTGCGAGAAAAATACGGTGGTGGTGCTGAAAAATTCCCCTCAGATTGACGCTATTTTCCCTCCTGTTCTGCTTATGGTGACTGATCGCTTTTTTTTCGGCTTGTCCGAATCAAACGAGGCCCTTCGCCGTCTTCTCCGTTACTGTAATTTGAATTTCTCCTCACATCCGTAGGCTTTGCGTTGACGCGAGCGGCGATCCTTACGGCTCTTTCTACCGCAGATGCAAATGCGAGCGATTCCGTCGATATTTTACCGGTTATCGCAGTCCGAGTCCGCTGTCAGGCTACGCTTTGTATCCTTCTTCAATTCGGGTGGTAGATCATGTGCATTTGGATACGTGAAGTTAAATCCGATACCACAGCGATGGATTCCCTACGGACGGAGCGCGTTGAATCCCCAATTGTGGCGAATGTAGCCTTTTCGAGGGTGTATTTTTAGCGATTATTTCCTTTTCTCAGTGAATTGTACATTGAGATAGACAGCGTTGAAGAGATGGGCGGGGCAAACAGCTCTCATTGAACCCTGCTAATCACATGACCGCCCGAAAACGTCAGCAAGCGGCGATTCTGCGGAGCAAGGCGCCCTCTTTGAAGTCATGATTCCTACGTGATAAAGTTCGCGATTCCACCCGATCCATCTTTGACTATTGACCATTATCGCTGGTTAAATGTAGGGCAGTGCGATATAACCTTATGTTTAGTGTGTAAGTCTCTGAACCACAGCTTCAACCTGAAAACATGAAAATACGCTCGTTTTAAATAGAACTGGGGACAGAGAACTGCTTCCGTTAACATATAGCTGAGTAGCCGAGTAATAATTAAATTATTTTAATCAGTTAATTGTTTTTGAACGTACATTTTGCATCCAAAGCACAAGGAACATAGTACTAAAATACTCTGACCACTGTGGTTTGAATCCCGAACGGATGGCTCTTTTGAGTCGGTTCTTTGTAATGAATCACCAACATACAGCGCGACTAGTGCAGTCCGATTCCTGAACGAATGACTCGAATGAGTCAGTTCTTTTTAGTAAATTAAGACATTTATGAATCACAGAGCACTTACTGAACGTGTTCTAATACATGCACATAATTTTTTTTTATTGTAATCAGTGGTATTTTATATATATATATAAAAAAAATGTGACAAATATATGTTTTATAAATGTTTGTATGGTATTTTTAAAAAAATAAGTTTGCAGTCTGAAAAGTCCTCAAAAATATATTGAAGCACATCTTATGTAAGAATAGTATTTAATTTATTTCTGATTTGTTATATCTGTTGTGTATCTGAAATGTTATGTAAATACGAAATTCTCATGTGGCACAGTGAATGCAATACGAGTTACAATTCTTCTTTACAAGTATTTCAAAATAACTAACATTTAATTAGTAAATATTTAAAAATGACTAAAAGAATGTTTGAATTTAAGTGTTCGTCATCTGTTGATGTATACTTAATACTGAGGGCCTCCTAGTCTAAGTGGATGTTAATTAAAACTTCCGCATATCAACTTTATGTAACAATTATTGTATTAATAATCTGACATATTTGTGAGAGAGCACTTAATTATTAATCATTGCAGTGTACATAAACATAATTGCAAATAGGAGAACAAGTTACTTTTTAATATATTAAAAGCAACAACATACAACCGCAGCAACCAAAAGTAAAACATATACGTTACAAAGTCATGTCACAGAATGATTCATCAGCCAAAAAAGTGGTTAAAAGTACTTCTTATTATTACAATAATTAAAGGCTTCCTACAACAATGTTTATATTCTATTATGTCCTTCTGCGAGTATTTTTAGGTAAGTACTATACATTCTGATCTGCCTGCTGAGAATCTCCACAGACATGCAATGTCATACCCTTTGTGATGTGCCAGAATAAATCAAAAACACTAAATAACAATCTATGCCACCAGCATATATCTTCTATTCTGGCAATGAATGACTACATTCATTAGACTAAACAGGATGCCAAAGACGTCTTGGAGGTTTAAAATGCTATCTGAATGTCTATCTGAATTAAGGTGATGATACACGGGGCAACTTTTTTGAGTAATGTTGCTTGGGCACTTTCCCATTGAGAATGGGCAACAAATCTCTATCTGGATACTTTAGATCAGTCATGGGCCCTGTGTCTCACCTGGTTGCCCATTGACGGCCACATTGCACTGCAACATTGCTCAAAAAGTTGCCCCGTGTATCATCAGCCTTAAAGGTCCCATGGCATGAAAATTTCACTTTATGAGGTTTTTTTTAACATTAATATGAGTTCCCCTAGCCTGCCTATGGTCCCCCAGTGGCTAGAAATGGCGATAGGTGTAAACCGAGCCCTGGGTATCCTGCTTTGCCTTTGAGAAAATGAAAGCTCAGATGGCCCAATCTGGAATCTTCCCTTTATGTCGTCATACGGGGAAAGGTTACCTCCCCTTTCTCTGCTTTGCCCGCCCAGAGAATTTGGCCCGCCCATGAGAAAATGAGGCCAGCACAATATTTTTTTTTCCTCATCATGAGACATCATGGCTTGCAAACGAGCGAAGCATGGCAGTTGCCCCGCCTCTCTCCTCCTCATTAGCATTTAAAGCTACAGACACAGAAATGGCACGTCCTAAGGAAAGCTCATTGTGGGACTGGCTCGTAGTGGCTGAAATTCTGCACCAAGGCTGAATTTCGGGAAAGAGACTTCAGATACAGTACTAGGGACCACTTAGGCCTATATAAAAGCATCCAAAAAGCAGCATGTCATGGGACCTTTAAAGTAAAACTAAATAAAATAGTCAGGTTTTCTACAAAATTATTTTAGCATATACTCAAAATATTACTTGTTCAGTGCAAACATACGAATACAGCACATTACATTCATCAGACATGCTAGAAAGAAAATTTATACTGACATGCATTTGACAATAAACTTTACTTGTACTTTATAATCTGTTTTTTAATACATCCCATGCATCGGTTGGTGTGAATAGTCTAAAAGTACAGAGCTGTTTTTTATTATTCTTTTCCTTCAGCTAAAAAGAAAAGAAAGTCATTTCACTGATATTATTTAATTCAAGCTATAGTAACAGTCTAAAGCCAAACATAAAATTAAGTCTATATGGTGCCTTGACGTGTCATTGATTTTTCTCATATATTTATTTGTATTGCTCCAAACAAAGGCTTAAAATAGTGACATGCTGATAGTCAGCGAGTAAACCAAAGAATCCAGAAACATAGTTGTAGTATAAGAGATCAAACAAAAGTCAATGTGATGTCAACACATGAGAGATAAACTATTGTATGACAGTGACCGAATAGGAAAATGAAGTTTCATTGAGCTATTTTTTGACACCCTGTGGTCTATTTTTGATCCCATAATCTTTGTTTGGCATTCGGGGGCAGAGACTAGACAGACTCATTTGGAAACAAGGTAAAGTATGCTTTTACAGTGAGGGTGTGTTAAAAATTTAAGCCTGAACTAATCTACACAAAGTTAACAAGTCACCATACTCAAAGTTCTTCAGTGGTCACATCCATATACAATAAATTCCATTCTGAGACCAAACCAAAGTTATCACCTTTAAATGTAAGGATGCATGGATAATGTATGGAAGTTGAGATGACTCTTGGGTTTGAGTACACTACACTATGATCTATCACCAGAAGGTGGCAGCATTTCTCTAATAATGAACTCCAGCAGACTTTTTTTTTTTTTTTGTGGAACTATAGGCCATTTGTGTCTGGAACTCTGTATGCAACAGTTCTAAATGAGGATAATCAGAATGCTTAGGACAGAATATACACAGTCTCATATTCTGTGCTGAAGCAGAAGTTTGAGAGAGCGCAAAACGCAAAATATCCATTACATGAGACACATTCTCTTAATAATAATAGTAATTCAATCTCACAGTTGTTGTTATAACCTTTCCATTTAAGAAATGCCCATCCAAACAAAACAATGTAGCAGTTGTGGAAAACATCATTTGTTGTCCTTACAAAGTCTTTTCCTTTGCTTTTTATATTGTTGGACTGTTTCCTTGTTTTCCATTTTCCATAATAATTATTATCCATATATCAGCCAATATTTCTGTGGCCAAAATGCTCTGACATATTGAGTATGGCAACACAACTTTAAACAGGCAGCTTTGTTAATGGATAATAAACAAAATTTTTAATTTCAGAGACTTTTGAGAAGATATTGTGTAAAATAAAGTTTCTCTATTTGTCGTAATTAATTATTAATGAATTGTTTTATGTAGCATTCTTGTTTTGTTTGCCATTATTAATTTGTATTATGTATTTATCTACTTCTCTTGTATATATTCTTGTATATATTTTGTTCTATTTTGAGTTTGCATGATGAATAATCACAAAATTAAATGGGACAGAAAGATGTGAGATGTGTGTACAAAAAAAGAGATAAGTTTTGTAGCTTGCTGAAAAACTAGAAATAAAAATGTTTAGCTTATTCATTTAATATTTAACTATTTTTTTATCCATTTGAAGAAAATATGAGTAGTGTCTGTAGGGCGTTTCCCATAAGTCTCTGTGATATTCTTGTCCTTACTGTAGATGAGTTAGATCCCTCCTTTAACATTCTATGGGATTTTTTTTTCACCGGCAATAAGAGTTATAGCACTGTTACACAATGAGGTTTAATACAGTCCAATCTTTAACTCAGGACCCATTTGTGTTATCACTTTACATAAGACAGTCCCTTTCAACGAAAGAAGTAATTCAGGAAATTACTTCTTGTCTAATGTTATATAACTGCATGCCTTCCTCAAAATGTTAAAGGGGTCATATGATGCTTTTTTAAAGATCATTATTTTGTGTATTTGGTGTAACAGAATATGTTGACATGCTTTAATGTTCAAAAAACACATTATTTTTCAAATACTGTACATTATTGTAGGTCCTCTATGCCCCGCCTTTCTGAAACGCTTCGTTTTCTACAAAGTCCCTCCTTCCGACAAGCGCAGTCTGCTCTGATTGGCCAGCTGACCCAGTGCATTGTGATTGGCCGAACACTGCAAGCACTCGGAAATGTAATGCCTCTTACCATAATCGCGAAAGGAAAACTTGAAATCGCATCATATGACCCCTTTAACCCAAACAAAAAATCTATTGTTACCAGTGACAATCAACATGATAAAGTTTCAGCATGCATTATAGACCAATTGGCTTAACTTAGTTGTGTGTAACCAGAGGTCAACATCCACTGATTCTATTAAAACTGAATGCATTATGTGTTGAATGTCTTTTGTCATGCCCTGCATGAAGTTGCATGATCGACATTACACTTGTGGGCTTGCAGCTGTGAGCAGTGAGATCCAGCCTCAACAACAGCAGCAGCAGTCAAAAGCGGCCACATCAAAAGAGACAAACATTTTCATTGAGGTTGATTCTGCATTAAAATGACAAATTGTTATTAAAGGCAAAAGCTAAAAGAAGGACACACTTCAAAACCAGACTTCCTTTTAAGACGAACACACACAAACAC